AAAAGCATGGTGGGGGGGCCATGTCTAGGCTCGTGGGTAGGCCGACATGATTTACTTTTTTTTTGCTCGTGGGTAGGCCGACATGATTTACTTCTTTTTTTATTTTTTATTTAATGTTATTTCAGTAATCATAAAAAAAAATACATCATTTTTTTTTAAATATATTTTTTTATTTGACTTGGAAAAAAAACCTCATTTTGTTATCAATTTTTTTTAAAAAATAAATTACAGTATTTTTTTATTTTAGTACAACACATGCTCTTTTATTTTTTAATATATTACTTGATATGAAAAAAAGTCTCAAGCCACTTAATTAGCATATAATTAAATAAAAAATATTTTAAAAAAATATTAAATTTAATGGAGGTATATAACCTCCATGGTAGGTTAGGCAGGTAAATTTTAATTCGTTAAAATCTTTTTTTATTTTTTAAATTTAATATTTTTAATTTTAATTTTATTATTTAATATTTAATTGACTTAAAATTAAATATTATAATTTATTTTAATATATTTTTTATAAAATTATTATTATCTTATAATTCAAATAATAAATTTAACTGATTGACTTAAATTTATTTATATTAATATAATATGTTACCGTCATGTAACTTTTTTAAAAATATCATGTAATACATGTTAAATCTTGAATTCATAATTAATTTGTTTTCTTTTATAAAATACATTAACGATGACTTGACTCTTTTTTGTGCGTTGAAATTAACGATGACTTGACTCTTTTTTGTGCATTGAAAAAAACACAAAAAAGAGTAATCCTGCCTGTTTTATTTTGTATTTTTTTATTACCTGACTGAGTAAAAAACTGATACAAATAAACAAAGCTATTTAAAATTACTGGGTCCATCTATATCTTAATGTTTTTTTCGCCAAAAATCACATTTAAATGATCGCATATTCATTTTTTCTCTTGCTGGAAATGGAAATTCATCCGGCCACCGTGAAGCACAAACCACGGAGCTAGTTTGCCTGAAATTATGTCAATGCTGGAAATATACCTAAATCAGGTGGATGATTCCAATAGTTAATATGTAGTTCGGATAATGGCTGAAAACATAAAATGCACGTTCAGGAGATGGCCTATCAAGATGAAGCATATATTTGAGTTTGCAGTAATAATTTAAAATATTTTTTTACTTATAAATATATTAAAATAAAAGAATTTATGTTTTAAAAATTATTTTTGATATCAATATATCAAAATAATCTAAAAATATAAAAAAATTCATTTTAAAAAATTAAAATTTTAAAAAATATAACTTACATCATATTACTAAACACACCTTTTAATAAAAGTAAGATTGTTTGGGCATGATGATTTAATGTTGTTGTTATTATTTCATAAAAGCAATGTTTGGTTAAAAAAAATAAAACAATCAAGATATTTTTTTTATAAAAAAAATAGAAATTTTCTCTAGTATATTTTTTTATATTTCTGTGTTTATCATTTCAATCAAATATTTTTATGTTATTTTTGTATTTAAACCTTTTATTCCAAGACATTAAATATATATGTCTGATATTGTGTTAATTTTTATATGTTTATTTTTATGTTTGAAGAGTTTTTTTTTTTAAAATATTTTTTTCTTTTCTTCAAATTAATATTTTTTATATTTTCAAATTATTTTAATATATTAATATTAAAAATAATTTTTACAATATAAAAAATATATTATTTAAATATATTATCAAACAAAAAATACTTTTAAAAAAATCACTACCGCACTTTTTACCCATCAAAATCAAAAGTAAAACTAGAGACTATATTGCAGGGGCTTATTAATACAAGTGTCCAATCACGTTCTCGATTTTCTTGCTAATTAGTCGGTAAATATCTCAATCATGGTCATGGGCAAATTGTTCAATTTTTCATTTTTCGATATTTGTTTGCTTCGGATGACAAATCAAAAGTTATACTATTGGTCTGGTTGCTGGACCTGCTTTGTTTGTGAAAGTTCAAACCTTACTCTTAACTCCATGTCTTCGAGGTATGTTTGAGAACATATAATTATTTTTTATTTAAAAATATATTAAAATAATATTTTTATTTATTTTTACAAAATTATTTTTAGTATTAGTTCTTCAAAAAAACTATCTAAATATATGAAAAATATTTCAAAGTTCAAGAAAAGACCGTTTGCATTAGAATGCAGTTTCAACGATGCCTTCAAAAGTCAAAAGTTAAAGCTAGTAGGTAATATGGCCAAATTCACAATTGTTGTCAAAAGACACCTCATCATTTTACCTGTCGAGACCCTCGAGTTCTCATATTTTGTTGGCCTTTCCTTTTTCTTTGAGATTTTTAACAATGACTCTTCAAAAACCATATTTGCGAGACTCATTTCAAGATCCAGCCAAGATCTTGGACGAGTAAATTGGAGGTTGATCCAGCTGATTTTCAAATCAAATTACATCAAATAGAGTTGATCCAACGAGTAAGTGAATTGATCCAACGAGTAAGTGGATTGATCGGGGAGTGATGAGAGATCGTCAAAGTTAAAATGGAGTTTTCACCAAGTTTGTTCTGATTAAAATTTTACTCTATCTAACTTGAAATCCAGGGCATACTAGACTTTGGAATTTTGGATATCAGATGCCTAAAAGAGATTTCATAGCTTAATTTTCAATATTCGAAAACATGTTCCAGAGCCACGGTACCATCAAACCCCCGATTCTACAAACGGGTAACAGACTTGAAGTACACTCGGCTTATTGTGCAGACAATTCCAGGGAACTGGGGCAGGTACGTGCCATGGCTGGCAATACAAGGTTTTGTTTTGGAGGAGACGGAC